TTGTTGGAGCTGAAGCGGAACCAGTCGGGATAGCCATGAAGCCGGGCTGCTTCACGGATGGTGATGTGCCGGTTGAACTCCGGATGCAGTGGGCGCCTTGAGGCTACGCTCAGCAGAGTCGGGGCTACAGCTTTGGCGTCAAGGCGGCCGACACCATCAAACGCTGATGTTGTGCCAACTGTCTTTTGTGAAAAGGCAAGGAGTGTTGCGTCATCGTTCTGAGTTCGCATCGATCCGGTCAGCAGCTCTCTGTCCCAAATTCTGGGTTGCGAGAGGTCGTCTCCTGCACTGCGCGGCAGATGTGCCAAGTAACTGGAGAGCTCTTCGCCTTCGAGGCGGATTTCATCGCTCACCAGGAGCTCTGTGAATCGATCGGCATCAGGCAGGCCCATAAGAGCTTGCCCAACAGTTGTCCTTGCGGCACTGAGCTTGACTGGAAATGGAAGAAGCTGATCCGAGCGGGCGGCCAAGATGAAAATTCGCTTGCGTCGTTGGGCAACTCCCAGGTCTTGAGCATCGATCATCTGAATGGGCTCAAAGACTGCATATCCGAACCCTCGCAACTCAGCCACGAGCTCGTGGAGGTACACCTTCTGGACGCCTTGGGACATGGCTGCGACGTTCTCCAGCAGGGCGTAGCGAGGTCTGATTTCACCAACCAAACGGCAGTAGTCCCTCACCAGTACGTTGCGCGTGTCGTCGAGCATCCGCTTGCCGACAAGCGAGAAACCTTGGCAGGGGGTGCCACCAGCTAGTAGATCGACATCGTGGCCATCGAGGCCAAAGAAGGCGAGCAGATCCTTTCCGGTAAGGCTGGAGATGTCAGCACACAGTGTTTTGGCCTGCGGAAAGTTGTAGCGGTATGCGCAGCAATGCTGGGGCACGATGTCGACCCCACCAACTACGTCAAATCCAGCCTGTTCGAGCCCAAGGCTCATGCCGCCTACGCCAGCGAAAAGATCGATGGCGATGGGACGCCGTTGTGCGTCGCCAATCTTCATGCTATTCAGATTTTGGGATCGATCAGCCTCTGGCTTGCTGCCAGCTCGATCCGGAAG